TTTTTTTTTTTTTTTTTTGAAACCTCACTTTGTTGCCTCTGGTAGAGTGCCATGGTGTCATGGCTCATAGCAACCTCAAACTCTTAGGCTCAAGTGATACTCTTACCTCAGCCTTCCCAGTAGCTGGGACTATAAGTACCTACCACAACACCTGGCTATTTTTAGAGATGGGGTCTCACACTTGCTCAGGCTGGTCTCAAACTCCTGAGTTCAGGCGATCTGCCTGCCTTTGGCCTCCAGATAAACAGTACTTTCTGATAGAGAGTACTGAGATTACAGGTGTGAACCACTGTGCCTGGTCGCTCAGATTATTCTCCAACAAGGCTATTTTGTTTCTTTCTTTTTTTCTTTTGTTACAGTTTGGCGGGGGCTGGGTTTGAACCCTCCACCCTAGGTATGTGAGGCCGGTGCCCTACTCACTGAGCCACAGGTGCCTCCCTAACAAGGCTATTTTGTGAACAGACATTTTTATTTCTCTTGGGAGTGAGATCTCTGGGTCATGGGGGTAGTGTACAGTCTCCAGTTGCTAAAGCAACACATGAGTCTCAGGATAAATCGAAGAAGTATGGAAGCTGGATATAAGAAGAGTTGAGACCCTGCTTTCGTAAAAACACTTGGCACCTCTTCTGCCCCTTTGCCTCCTCCACCCCTGGCAGGCAAGGTCGGGAGATCTTCCATGCCTTCTCTGGGCACTGGGATGTGTGGGCTGTGCACCAGTGAGGGACCAGGGCTCCTGGTAGTCCACGGTCTTACCAGGAGCTGTGTGTCCTTCTTGGGCTCTGTTTGTCTCTACTCTCTGTATCGCAGTACTTCTCACTCTTTGCCCCTGTCTCTGGTGCCTAGTCTCCGTTTCACTGTCTCTTTCTGTTCCTGTGCTCTCTTCTCTCTAGCATCCCTTCTTCTCTCCTTGTCTGTGTCGGAATCTTCCTAAGGGCCTGGGAAGGGGATGGGGCTCCCCCAAATCTGGGATGACCCCCTTTTCCCTCACCAACCCATCAGTACCCAGATGGTGTCTTCTATGACCTGGACAGCTGCAAGCACTCAGGCTACCCGGAGTCAGAGGGGGCTTCTGGTGAGTGACCCTGGCTCAGGCCTTGGGTGCATTTCACAGATGGGGGAGCTGAGGCCCAGGCGAAGGTGTGACCTAGCACAGCAAGATAAGGTTAGCCCAGGCCTCCAGACCTCCTCCCTTTCCCCCTTCCCACCCATCTGCTCCCACATGCAAATCCTGGGGTCAGATATTTGCACAGCCCACAATGGTCTCTCTGTGCTGGGGGCTTTGGGTGGCAGGAGGCCTCTGCCAGACTGCCCAGCTTCTGACTCAGTGCCCTTCCCCCAGATCCCCTGTGGGACTGGGCTGGGTCCCCACCTGTACCAGCCGCACCCTATGAAGCCTTTGATCCAGCAGTGGCCACCTTCAGCCATCCCCAGGCTGTTCAGTTCTGCTATGGACCCTCGACCTACAGTCCTGCAGGGAGCCTTGACCCAGGGCCTGGCCTCCCAGCCTACCCCACAGAGGACTTCACCAGCCAGGTGAGTGGCAGGGCGCTAGTTCAATCAAGCCCTGTCATTTGATTAAGTTTTACCAGGTGCCAAGTCCTGCATTAAAACCCCAGGCACTGGGCAGCACTTGTGGCTCACTCAGTAGGGCACTGGCCCCATCATATACTGAGGGTGGCGGATTTGAACCCAGCCCCAGCCAGCTAAAACAGCAGTGACAACTGCAACAACAAAAAAGCTGGGCATTGTGGCAGGTGCCTGTAGTCCCAGCTACTCGGAAGGCTGAGGCAAGAGATCGCTTAAGCCCAAGAGTTAGGAGTTGCTGTGAGCTGTGATACTGTGGCACTCTACCGAGGGCAACAAAAATGTGAGACTCTGTCTCAAAAAAACAAAACAAAACAAAAAAACCCAGGCATAGAGTAACCCCTTTAGCAACTTTCAGAGTAAGTGGAATTCTTGCTCCACTTACACTGTGGAGCAAGTGGGCAAAGAGAGGCAGAGACAAACCAAGGGACAGCAAAGACTGGGAAGTTGGCTGTACTGGGCATGCTTTCATAGAGGTGGTTCAGGTGTCCCCTGGCCATAACACAGCGATCCAAACCAAGGTCACAGTCCACACTGTCAACAAAGTTGGAGACCAGAGCAGGGAGGGCCACAATAGGGGCTTGAATGGAGGAAGTGGAGGGAGAGAAGGGAGCGCTGGATGTATAGGTGATCCTGACCTTCTGCAGACTTTGGGTCCCCCAGTGTACACCCCGTACCCCAGTCCTGTGCTGTCGGAGGAGGAGGATTTACCGCTGGACAGCCCCACCCTGGAGGTTTCGGACAGCGAGTCAGATGAGGCCCTCATGACTGGTGCTGGAGGGAGGGGATCTCAGGCAGGTATGTGGGAGTGGATGGGGTGGGAAAGCCAGCTGGAGATAGGGGAGGGGGCTAAAGGAATTGTGGCTGCCCAGGCACCTACCGTATACTCCAGTGCTGATGGCAGTTGCCAGATCCACACCAGCTGCTGTGTGTGACCTTGGGCAAGTGCCTCTCCCTCGCTGTGCTTGGTTTCCTGTTTGTATAACAGAGATGGCAGTGATAGTGTCTACCCTTGTCAGGTCATTAGGAGGATAAACAGGATGACATGTGTAGATGGGATAGCAGCACTTGGCACAGAGCAAGCACCCTATGTCAACATCTTCATCGTTACCCATGCAGTGACAACAAAAAGAACCACAAAATCAACCCCCAGCTATTCTACCCCTGTCCTGCCCATGTGCCCAATACCCATTATGCTCAATCCCTGAGAAGTTGAGGTCTTGAGTTTCTGTATCTGGCCTTGATTTCCCATCTATAAACCCGGCATCCTCTTCCTCCCATCTCATGGGAGTAGGTCTTCCCAGATGAAAATTAAAGGAGCTAGTGACTGTAGAACAATTAGCAAAGCACCTGGCCTAAACTGCTCCCTAGAGGTTTGTAAAAGTAAAACACAAACATGTTAGCCTCCTTTATGATTGAAGAGACTCTGACTCAGAGAAATTAAGTCACCTGTTTTAATTTAGGGTCTTTTTCTTTTTGAGACAGTCTTATTCTATGGCCCTGGGTAGTGGGCCTGGCATTATAGTTCCCAGAAACCTCAAACTCTTGAGCTCAAGTTGTCCTCTTGCCTGAGTACCTGGGACTATAGGCACCCGTCACCACGCCTGGCTAGGTATTCAGTATTTTTTAGTAGAGATGGGGTTTCGCTCTTGCTCAGGCTGGTCTTGAACTCATGAGCTCAAGCAAACCACCCACTTCAGTGCCCAAGCTTACTTTATGATCTTTTTTTTTTTTTTGAGACAGAGTTTCAGTTTGTTGCCCTCTATAGAGTGCAGTGACATCACAGCTTACAGCAACCTCAAACTCTTGGGCTCAAGTGATTCTCTTGCTCAGCCTCCCAAGTAGCTGGGGCAACAGGTGCCCGCCATTATATCCAGCTATTTTTAGAGCCAAGGTCTTGTGCTCTGGCTCAGGCTGGTCTTGAACTTGTGAGCTCAGGCAATCCACCTGCCTTGGCCTCCCAGAGGGCTAGGATTACAGACGTGAGCCACCTTGCCCGGCTCTTACCTTAGGATCTTTAAGATGGAGGGTGCCCCTGCAATGATTAGGAGAGACAGAACATGGAAATAAAGGTTTTGTTACTCGGAAGATGCAGAGGCCACATACACATTCAGGCCAGGGAGCTTAGGCAGGGAGACAGAGAGAGAGACTCGTGGGTTTTGGCCTTTATTGGGGTCCACGGTTCTCTCCTAGCAGGTTTTCTGTGGGGAGTTTTAGTGGACAGATTTAAAGTGAGCTGGCTTCCAGGCTTGCGTTCCAGGAGGTCACATTGTGCCTGAGAAGGGGTCACCGAGACTGATCTTGTCTGCACAGTCCACATGTGTCATGGGGACCAGCAGTGCTGCCAAGTAGACTGCACCTAGCTGTCCCATAGGGAAGTAGTCAGGTATTTGGATCGACCACATTGAGGACCACTCCAATGGTCTTAAGTGGGGGTGTGGAGGCGGGGAGCATAGGTGGGACTGGGAACTGTCAAGGGTAACACAGCCCTGCCTCTAGTATAAGAAAGTCCCACTTATACTTAAAATGGATACCGAGGCAACATAAAATATGAATTTGCCATATTACCACCCCAAGGTCTCACTTCTGGGCAATGACATAAGGTATTTGCATCCAATGCCCTAGTTCCGTGAGACCCCATGGGGTCCTCACTGCTGTAGGAGCCCAGGAGTCTGGTGCCTTGGCCTTTCCCAGGACCTCAGCCCATCTGGGCTCAGTGGCTAGGAGACAAGGAACCGGAGAAATGTCCAGAACTATTCAAACCGACTCCCATCTGTCAGCTCTCTTGTAAGCCCTTGAGAGGCACTGTCAGCCCATTTCAGATTCTTTTGCCCACGGGCTCAACAACATGTACTGCTATGTGCTGGCCGCGGAGCAGAGCAGAAGACAAGACAGATGCCAATCCCCCAAATTGAAGCACAATGGACATGGAGTTCTGGGGCCAGCTTTGGGGCGGGGGGGAACGGGGTGGGCACAGAGGCAGGTGTACCTAATAGGCACCTCCCTCGTCCCACTTCTCTGGATGGGGAGACTGACGCTGGGGAGAAAGTTGGGTAGGCTTGGGGGCGGGTCCTCTCCTGACGCATCCCCAACCCCGCTGCAGGGGCCCGCAAGAAGCTGCGCCTGTACCAGTTCCTGCTGGGGCTGCTGACGCGCGGGGACATGCGTGAGTGCGTGTGGTGGGTGGAGCCGGGCGCCGGCGTCTTCCAGTTCTCCTCCAAGCACAAGGAGCTCCTGGCGCGCCGCTGGGGCCAGCAGAAGGGCAACCGCAAGCGCATGACCTACCAGAAGCTGGCGCGCGCCCTGCGCAACTACGCCAAGACCGGCGAGATCCGCAAGGTCAAGCGCAAGCTCACCTACCAGTTTGACAGCGCACTGCTGCCTGGCGCTCGCCGGGCCTGAGCCCACCTGAGGCTCTTGGGGGCTCCGCATCCTGCCTAGGTAGCTCTGGGAGCCCCACGCCGCCTGTGGAGCCTCATGGGGACCTCACGGCCCAGCCAGGACCCCTCTGGAGTCCCCCAGTCACGTTGGCATCGCCACACCCTAGGTCATAGGACCTATGGAACTCACACTTGAGGCGGGGAGTGTTGCCATAATCCCTAAGCCCGGCCCAGGGCCCCTCTGGGATTTCCTTACCACATACTGGATCCCCAGATCCTCATGTTTTGGGTCACAAGATCCACTGACCATTATACCATGGGGGCGCTGGAGAGGGTTGTGCTTCCAGAATCACAAGAGCTCCTCTGGGGTCCCCCAACCAGGCCTGGGACCACCCTAAGATCCATTGTAAACCCTCATATCTCATCTGGCGGTGCACACAGATCAGCACACCAGGAGGGGGGCTTTGCCAGCAACCCTAAGCCCTGTTCAGGGGTACCTCTGGGGTCCCCTTCTCATGTCTGAGTCCTTCTTGTCACATCTGAGATCTCCAAGTTGTCTAGGGCCTTCTGGAAACCCTTTATTATGTCTCAGATCTCTTTTTTTTTTTTTTTGAGACAGAGCCTCAAGCTGTCCCCCTGGGCAGAGTGCCGTGGCATTACAGCTCACAGCAACCTCCAACTCCTGGGCTCTAGCGAGTCTCCTGCCTCCGCCTCCCAAGTAGCTGGGACCACAGGCGCCCGCCACAAACGCCCGGCTGTTTTTTGGTTGCAGCCGTCATTGTTGTTTGGCGGGTCCGGGCTGGGGATTCGAACCCGCCACCTTAGGTGTACGTGGCTGGCGCCTTAGCCGGTTGAGCTGTAGGCGCTGAGCCTATGTCTCAGATCTCTGACCCTATCTAGAACTCTTGCCAGATCTGTTCCCTCAAATCCCTTTGTCATCTTTGAGAACCCCTAATTCTCTAGAACTATTCTCTTGTCACTTCTGTGTGTCTGGAATTCTCCAATCACATTTAGGGCCTCTCTGGAATCCTTTTGTCATGTCTGAAGTCACGATCTGGTGTGGGGTGTTCAGTGAACTGTGTCATATCTGGGGCCCCAGTGGGATATCCTCCAATCACATCTGAGGCCCTCCCAGGAATCCCCATGTGATAGGCCCCTTTAGGGACCACACAGTAGCCATAAGTTCCTAAGGGTACCCTACCCTTCTTGGGGTGTCCTAAATATGGCCATGCTGAAGGTCATTCTGGCCCCTCAAGTTATTGCTGGGAGATCTTGGCAGTTCCCTGTTATTTATAGTAAGAGGTTTCAATTAGATGCCCCCCACAATCCAGACAAACTAGGTCCTTGGTGATGGTTTTTTTTTCTATCTTCCTCCTCCCCACCTGTTTTTTTTTTTTTTAAGACAGACTCTCACTTTGTCACCCTTAGTAGAGTGCTGTGGCATCATAGATCACAACCTCAAACTCTTGAGCTCAAGTGATCCTCTTGCCTCAGCCTCCCAAGTAGCTGGGACTATAGGCGCTTGCAAAATGCCTGGCTATATTTTAGAGATGGGGTCTTGCTCTTGCTCAGACTATATGGTGATGTTTTCTTTAGTTCACAATAGCACTTGAAGGTTTGACTGGGGGATCCAAGTTAACAGCTGACCTTTCAAAATAGGGAGATTTTGCATAATCCAGACTTCTGCCTTCACTCAAAACATTGAGTGATCTGGTGGTGGTGGGCCAGGTTTTCAGTCTGGAAATGCTGGAACAGGACTTGGCCCCTCCTAATGGGGCATTTATTCTTCAATCTGTCCCAGTCTTTACCACCCCAGCTGTTTTACCACAGAGGCTTCTCTCAGCAGCCTATTTGGCCCCAGTCATTTGTGTTTTGACCTCTATGTATGCCCAGCTGGAGCTGAAGCCTGGATGAACTGTCGGAACTCTGACTGGGACTCCTGGGGGTGTCAAGTCTATAGGTTAAGAGGTCAGAGGTCCAGTTTCTTGAGCGTTGGTGGCTGGGGGACTTATGGGGAATGACTTCCAAGCCTTAGTTTGTCCCTTCTGTGAAAGAGAGACAGGAGGAGGAAGATCTCAAAAAGCATTTGCAAAACTGTTGAGCCTTTGACACATCTACTGAAATCCACCCCACTCCCAATTGATGGGCAGGAGGAAGAGGAGCATCAAGGACCAAAAGAGGCAGGAAATCCATGTGGGGGCACCAGTGGCTGGTGGCAGAGCCTAGGCTGAGACTTGCCCTCAAGAGAAGAAGTGGGGTATGGCACCTGGGGCTCAAAAGGGTAGGGCGCAGGCCTCATGTGCTGGAGGCGGTGGGTGCAAAACCAGCCCCTGCCAAAAAAAAAAAAAAAAAGAAGAGGGGAGGGGAAGGAGGGAGGCACCTGCGAAACGAAACGTCCTCTCCAGGGCCTCTTCCTACAAAGGAAGTACTTTTTACAAAAGCAATCGTTGTCATCCTAAATGTGGAATAAAAGAAAATAAAGTAAAAGAAATCAAGGTAGACAGACCTCCTAGAACCCTTTATTAGAGACTGCAATCCTGACCCCTCCACAGGGGTCGCTAGCTCTCGAAACACCGTGTCAACGAGGGGAAAAAGTGACTGGAGTTGAAAAAGGCACTTACAGCCAGATCTGGCTTAGCTTTGAATGCTGAAATAAGGGGCTTGCGGTGCAGGCACTGAGGGTTCCGTTTAAATTTTGTATTTTCCTCTCTTCCTGCCCATAAGAGTCCTCCTCCACCTCCTTCCTGGTTCCCCTTTCGTCTGGGTCTGGGACCCCTGCCTCTGGGTTGAGCCCCTGGGTTGGTGCCAAGGGACGCAAGCTTCCAGGAGGCAGCGTTGCTCCTGACACCTGCCTCACCACTCTTCACTGGCCTCTCGCGAGTGGTGTAACAGACTGCCTGCCAATTCGTGACATCACATACAAGCTGCCACCCGGTTGGCTTAGCGCTCCCCGAAGGCAGAAAGTTTCCGGCTCATAGAGGGGTTTCGAAAATGGATGGGGAAAATGGGCGGGAAGAAAAAGTGAAGGGACGTGTGTACCCTCACACTGCGTTACTTCTCAGGCGGTGCCCCACCCTTTCCCACCCTCTCACACCCATCTCGCCCCCCGCAACACCTGGTCTTCCCCCAAAGTCCCGGCCAAGGACCCGCCCCTTTATCTCCTTCACCTCCCCCCACCTGCCGTCCAGCCACCACCCCTTTCAAAAAGACACAACCCCCCCCCACCCCCCTGCCGGGAAGGGCGCCAATGTCCGGGCAGCCCTCCAGGGCCTTCCCAGCCTCCCACCCGCCCTCTCCCTCGCGTCCGGTGCCCGCCGCACCCGGTCCGGGAACAGTAGCGGGGAGCGGGCAGGCGCGGTCCCAGGAGAGGCGGCGGCCAGTCCCGGGACCCAGGTGGACGGGCCCCCAGGCCTTCGGGGTTACCCACACCCAGGGAGCGGATCTGAAGTCCCTGAGCTCCAATGTCGTCCCTGGAGGCACAGAAAACTCCTCCCCCGGGCAGCCATCCTGCCTACGCTGGGAAACCGGACCCTCCCTCCGGGCTCTGGTTTCCCGAAAACTCCTGACTTGCAAATGCTAAGAATGGCTTTCTAGACCCTGTCTCTCCCCGCCCCGCCTTCATGCCTGAGTCCTGGCTCGCAGCCTTTACCCACTTTAGACCTCCAGTCCCTTCTCCTTCTTAGGACCTAGGCGTCCAGTTTTCATCCTTTCTTCAGGACGCTTCAGGAATCTGGGGCCCCAGTTTCTCCTGCCTCCTGACTCGAGAGTCCAGGCACCCTGCACCCCTCCCCCAGACCCTGGGGCCTCCGCCTCTGGCACCTCCTTCCTCGGACCCAGGTGTCTGAGCCCCCAGCGCCTCTTCCCCGGGGTCCTGGCATTCAGCCATCTCTCTCTGTCCAGCTGTTATTTCTCGCCCTTTAGAACACGCGCGTGGAATGTGGGGCGGCCCGTCACTGATGCCTCCCTGAGCCTTCTGGGAGTCTCTGGATTCCTTAAAGGGCTCCCTCTGGAGGCCCACCTGTCCTCCCTAGGGCCCAGCGGACACAGCTGCAGTCAGAAGCGTGGGAGGAAGTGCACCGACATGCCTGAGGCAAAACCAGGTGGCTGCCAGACCCCCTTCCCCCTGTGGCCTTCTTTTGTGAATGAGGTTTGGGGACTCCTCTGTTTCTGGCATTGGGAGAATAGGGTGCTTCTCTGTGTGAGGAGGAGCTCCCTTTTGGGGGTTTCCCTTATCTGTGTAGGGTGAAGATCTCCACATGGGGAGGAGCAATCCCCTTCCATTTGTGAGGAGAGGTGTTGCCTTCCTTGGGTGAGATAGGGGGTCCCCTTCGGTAATGAGAGGGTTTCTTTAGACACAATTAGGGGTCCTCTCTCTGCTGGAGGTGATGATTCTCTGTATGTTGGGGTCCCTTTTTCTTAATGGGGATGGGGATCCTGTATGTGTAGTCTTAGCCTGGTGATTGAGGTCTGTTAGATTTAGGGATGACATCCTCTGGGTTGGGACTGGGCCACTGCTCTGAGAGAAGATTGGGGTTTTCTCTGTAGGATATGGCATCATTGGGTGTATAAAGATTAGGGGTTCCCACCTGCATGGAGTCACAGGAAAATCTTCTCTGTATAAGGATGGGAGGAATTTCCTTCTTTAGGAATTGAGGTTCCCATGTGTAGAAATTAGGGGGCTTTCTATAGGGGCTGTGGTCCTTTCTTTGTGTAGAGTTTGGGGCCCTTTCTTTGAATGGGCCTGGGGGCACTCTATATGGAGATGGGTTTCCTTTCTATGAGGAAGTCAACGCAGCAGCTGCCATCCCTTGTGAAGGATCCTCCTTCTTCTGAGGTGTCCTGTCTGCTGGCATCAGGCCAGCTGAGCTATGGGTAGGGGTCCAGCCCTTTCTGTAGCTGGGGGCCCAGCAGGCCAAGAGGCAGCAGGAAGAGCACATGAAGGGTGCTGTTGTCAGCACAAGGTGTCCAGTTTCCAGCTTGGAGGCAGTGCTAATTATACTCCCAGGATCTAAAAGGTCAGAG